TACCAGCAGAGCCCGGGGGTGCGGGGCGTGCGGGGGACACAGTCCTGGGAGTGCTTGCGCGTCAGGAAACTGAAGGAACACTTCATTTCTCTGCAGGCGTCGCTGACGCCCAGCTGGCATCTCACCAACCTTCCTGCCCACTCCTCTCTCTGAAATAATCCTCTTCTGGCTCTGATCACCCCCATGGCCACCATTCCCCCCCAGGCGTGGGTCGCACAGGGAGCTGGGCAGGAGCAAGGAGGGACCTTCAGGGCCCCTGGGGCAGGAAGAAGGAGGACTCAGAGAGGCTTAGCGGTCTTCAACTTGGCAGTGGGCCCTCGCACCGGAGTCAGCCCAAATCTGGGTCTGGTAGAGCCTGAAGCCCCCAGGCCCTTCCCCTCTCACAGACAGACGCTGGGGGTCAGGAGACAGACACGGACGCTGGTTCTGGACCTCCACGCTGACCAGCCAAACCCTAGCACATTCCTTTCCTTTGATGAGCTTCAGTTTCCTCATCTATGAGAAGAAAATAAAAACATGAGTCCTATCTACCTCAGAGAGCTGTTGTGAAGTTGCAACGATATTAGACGTGGCAGTGTTTTGGAAATTTTAGAGTAATCTAGATAAATATGTGAGGGATGCTGATAATGAATTTAAATTATCGTCATCAGTTCAACAATATGACTGCTGCTCTTTGTTAAGCACTTACATGCTAAGACCACTGTGCTCAGAGCTTTACACCTATTTAGTTATTTATTGAATTGGGGGATTGTGAGGAGGGGTGTTGAGTTGCCTTGTTTGTTTTTGTTGAGACAGAGTCTCCCTCCGTCACCCTGGGTAGAGTGCAGTGGTGTCATTGTAGCTCACTGCAACCTCCAACTCCTGGGCTCTAAGTGATCTTTCTGCCTCAGCCTCCTGGTAGCCAGGACTACAGGCTTGCACCGCAACACCTGGCTGGGCTTTTTTTTTTTTTTTTTCATTTCTTCTTGGCAGAGACAGGGTCTCGCTTTTGCTCAGGCTGGTCTCGAACTCCTGAGCTCAAGCCATTCTCCCGCCTCAGCCTCCCAGAGTGCTAGGATTACAGGCATGAGCCACTGTGCCCAGCCTACACTTTTCATTTTATTTACTCTCATAGCAATCGTCATGAGAGAATACTGCTATTATGTCCATTACACAGATGGGAAGATTGAGGCTCAGAAAATATAAGTGACTTGTCCAAGATGCATGGCTAGCAAGCTACTAAGTCACGATATAGTCACAGTTTTTGAACGTGGGGCTTGTGCTCTTAGCCACCACTCTCTTCTGGAGTTGTAAGGGTAAAGTGTTATCTGGGGACAGCCTGGAGTGAAAGAGAACATGAATGGAGAGGAGAGAAGGGACTACCTTAATGAACCCTGTTGGCAGGTCATTTGACAGAATCTCACTCTTGTTATTGTACTATAGCCTTCAAGGCAGGTATTATTCCCCCATTTTACAGGCGAGGCAACTGAGGCTCAGAAATTTAAGTCTCCCGCCCAAGGTCACACAGGCAGTGCCAGAACTGAGACTATGATCGTGTTCTTCTTGCGTTGAACAGTCTGGGTCATTCCTCTCTTTAACATCCAGCCAGTTGGCCATCCAGTTCTGGTCTGAACGTTTCTAGGGACAGAGGGGACAGGAGTGACCTCAGAAGGATGGAATGGACAGGGAAGACTTCTTGGAGATGGAGGCAGGAAGGAAGCTGGATCTTGCAGAAGAGTCAAAATCTGGGTGGTCTTGGGTCAGAGCCCACATTGGCCTTTCTGCTCCCTTGCGAAAGGGAGTGGCCAGAGTCCCTTCTCTCTGCCTGGAGATCTGGAGGGAAGAAGCCTGTGGTCTGCCAGGTTATTAGTGGATTAGAACTTCCTTTTAAAGCTTCCTCCCATTACGCCGGAGGATTATAAGCATCTTCAGACAATTACACCCATCCTTCCGCAATTATACCTGCCTCTGTAGAGGGCTCCCTGGCAGTTTTAAGTATGGGCCACGGCATTTTCTGCCTTGGGCACCAAAGAAATCTTTATTTGGGGTCGATGGTTACCAGTGCCATTTCTCTAAGGCCTGAGTACCGGCTGAGCAGGGCAGAACAGGGTCCTTGGCAGGCTGGAGGGGTAGGGGGCATGGAAAGATGAGGTGGGCAGCAGCTCAGCTCCAGTTTCCTGCCATCAGCTGCTGCCAACTTGGGGGAATATACGTAGGAAGGAAAGTGTCATGTGTCTCATGATCAGGCCTCAGCCAGCACCAGCTGACCCACAGCTTGCCAGGAGAGCCCCACACTATGGCCATCTCCACAAAGCTGGTCATAACTGGCAGGACTCATTGAGATCATTGTGCAGATGGAGACTCTGAAGCCCAGAGATGGCAAGCAACCTCTCTAAAGTCACGCAGTAAGTTGATGGCAAACGTGGAGCTAGAATCCAGGGCTTCTGTATCCCAGTTCACCTGCCAGGGATTACTTCATTCCACCCCCTAAACAACCCTGTGACGTCCACATTTTCCTTATCTCTGTTTTACAGATGAGGAAACTAAGGCATAAGGAGCTTAAGTGGATCATCAAAGTCTCACAGCCTGTGGGTGGAGATTTGAACCCTGGGAGGTCTGGGCCCATGCTTTTAACCACCCTCTCTGCTGCCTCGTCTCCATGTCTCCATGGCGACAGGCAGCAGGCCGTGTTCTTCCACCCACCTGGGGCTGGAAAAAGGTTGTTCAGGCTCTGGCAGTTAGTGGGAGGTTCTGCCAAGCCACATTCCCGCCCCCTCAGACGTGCTGGGGAGACCTGGGACCCACCGCTGATCCAGCCTCTCCTTTGCCGGTGGCCATTTGTTATTGGGGGTCAGGGGTGTCTAGAGCATTTAGAGGCCTTTCCAACTCTAGTGGATATGGCTCTGAGCCTCTGGCTGGGGGTGGAGTGTGGGTCTGTGTTGTCAGATGAGCCCTGCCCCTGGACATGCATGTCTTGTTGAGGCAGAGGAACTGTGCCCATGTTAGGAGCTGACAGTGGTCACTGGGCCAAGGACAAGGTCCCTGCTCCTCAGGCTGTGGGAGGGAGGGCAGACAGAGCAGGAGGCTGGGCGGGAGGCTGCCCACCGCCCCTCCCACTCCCCCACTCCACGGTCACTGTGACAGCAGGATGATGGCAAGGAACATTGCTCACAGGTTCACATATATCTCGCTGTGAACTCACACATACACGCTTTCATCCACATGCCTAAACATGCATGTAGACACACTGTATCTACGCCATGTTCTCATGCAAACATTCACATGTATGCACTCACACATCTGCATACTTGTGGATGCCTCAGACACTCAGACATCCATGCGTGGGGTACACACTGTCACATACCCTCCCGAAGGCCCCCTCACCTTTGCCTACCTGTCACACGTGGACGCGTGTCTCAGATTTACTTACAGAGCTACAGTTCCACCCGAAAACCTATAAGCAGACATGTGCACCCTTTCTCACGTAAGCACCCATATTCCCTCCCATAGATACAGGTTAAAAGCATGTTCTTTCCTCCATCCTCTTTCGCTACACACCTACACTTTGAAATCTCTCTTGCATTCACACGTTCTCTCCTACAGGCACATCCACTCTTGCACGCCCACTGGCACACACCTACGTATAGACCGAACCACTTTCTCTCCCTTCTCTTCCCCATCTCTTTCTCTTTCATACCACCCACACAGTAATCCTAGCCTCTCTCTCTCTTTCCCTCTCACCCACACAGTTTCCTGGTTTCCCACAGGCTGGGCTGCAGCCACTTCCCCAGCACATGCGCTCTTGGGGTAGGCAATACCCTGCCTGGTGCCAACCGCCAGGACCCCCTCCCGATCCCCTCCCCCAGCACAATAGGACAAGAGCAGCCACAGGGTCAGAGAAACTCCCGGAAGCCCATGAGGCCAGGCGGAGGGCCGGGAGCTGCCAGGGAGGGTTTTTCCTCTCTGTCACTTGACTTCCTGCACTCAGAGTCTGCCCACTGGGGACAGGGGCATCCCAAACCCAGGCCACCTGCAGGTCTGCGTTTCACAAAACCTAGGGTGGGGTGGGCTCACACCAGCACATTTCTAACTTCCTGTCGCAGAGGTCGAAACCCAGGACTCTTAATATAGAAGACAGATGAAAGTGGAACCACCCTGATTGAAGGGGTGGGGAACGCAGGGAAACTTCGGTGAAAACCCAGGCCAACGTATTTCCAAGGGTGGTTCTGCTTCAAAATTATCGGGGCTGTGGAGGGTACTTGGCATCAGTCCCGTCCCAAGCCCACCACCTCCCCCATGGGAGGGGGTGCTGGAATGTGGGGATCTGGCCGGTTAACAGCATCCCCAGGAGACTCTGATGCGCCCTGACCACTGCCACCCGGCTCTGCTGACTAGGTCTGCATGGCATTTAGTTCAGCGAAAAGCACGCCACCCTTGCTGCTGACCCGCTAGTTAAGTCCGGGATGGCAGCAGGCTGGTGGGGCGGCGCTAACCCTCTGCAGTCACGATTTGGATTTGCCTAAGTCCTACCGAGAGAGACAGTTATTCTAGTTGCTGGGGCTGAGCAATGGGGTGAAGACGGGCCTGAGGGAGTACTGCATCCTGGTCCGTAAAGAAAGGGGGTAGGGGGCGGGGTGGCAGGTGGTGTCAGCTATGGGGGCGGAATCACAGAGGCAGATTTGAAAAGGGGTAGTGGGAAGAATAGAGAAAAGAAAGGGAGACGAGATAGCCGGGGAGACACAAAGAAACTGGGTGAGAGAGAAAACAGAAGGATTTAGGGACAGACCGACGGACCTAGAGATACAGAAAATGATAAGGAAACGGAGAGACGGAGGACCAGGCAGCAGAAGGTCAGGCCCGGCGCGAGGAGAGAGGGAGAGAGGAGGACCCGCCTAGAGACGCGAGGCCGAGCCGGTGAGGAGGGAGTCGCACCCCCAGGGCGGGGCGGGGCGGGCGGGGCGGCGCTAGGGCCCCGGGGAGCAGGCGGCAGGAGCGCGGCTGGCCCGCCCGCCTGCCCCGCGCTCGCGGCTCCGGGTCCCGGGTCCTGGAGCGGCCGGCCAGGCGGCGGCGGCGGCGGCGGCGGCGGCGGCGGCGAGGAGGGGGCGTCGGGCGCGGAGCCGATGCCTGGCGCAGGGCGCGGGTGACGGGGATCTCGGGGCGGGGCGCCCTGACGGACGCGGCCAGGTGTGTCGAGGCGACGGCGCCCGCGAGCGGGGGGACCGCGCTCAGCGGCCGGAGGTGAGTGAGGGGCGCTGGCCTGGCAGGGGGTGCGGGCGCCGCGCAGCCTCGCCCCTGCCCACCTGCGCCGTTCGCGGCGCCGCCCAGGAGGAGGTGGCACATCTGGGCTCCAGTCCCGGCTTGCTGGGTGACCTTGGCCAAGTCGCGTCTGCACTCTGGGCCTCAGTTTCCCCACCTGTGGGGGGGATGGAGGGATCTCGAGGCTGTCGAGCAGCTCAGGAGCGGGAGGACGCCCGGACACCGGGAATCCACTCTTCGGGCTGCGCGGGGGCTCCGGCCCTTCGGCCCCTCGCCGCAAGCGGACCGGGGGACGAGGCAGCCCCGGGCTCACTAGTGGGCAACGGTCCTGGGTCTGTGCCCCCCAGCCCGCTCTGGGGAAAGTCGGACCGGCTCGACCCAGGAAAACGGCAGGCTGGGCTCTGCCCGGGGTTGACCAACATGGGCGCCGGTGGGGGCAGCGGGAACGGAGTGTGCTGGGCCCGTGCCCCCTTCCCGCGGGTGGGGCCACCGGGCGCGGGGGTCTGGCTGAGCCGGCGGGGCGCGCAGGATACCAAACTGTCACATGGCCGGACCACCTACCTGGGGAAATGCCGGCCTTTCCTGAGCGCCTTGGGGAGAAGGGAAATGTCCTAAGGGCCTCGCATCACAACACCCCTGCTGTTGCCCCGGCTGCTGAGGTGAGAAGCGAGGCCCTGGAGGTGAGGCGAGTGGAGGGTGGGGCTGCTTGCTAAGCACTACACTGGGGAATCAGGGGGCTCCCTCCAGGGCCCTGGCACCACCTCTTTGAAGACTCTGGGGAAAAGGTGTCCTTTCCTCCCCTGGCATCACCCCAAGTTATGGGCTTATTCTGGATGGGGACAGGGACGCCCCTGGCTTCCATGCCCAGGTTGTGTAGAGGGGACAAGAGCTGAGTAGGAAGCAGCATGCACCTCATTCCTCACTCCCCACCCTGTCCTGAGTGGCAGGTGGCACTGCAATAAACCCACTTGCTGTGTGATCTTGGAGCAAGCCCCTTGCTCTCTCTGGCTCCCGGTGAGAGAGTTGGAGGGTGGCCAACTGCACTGGAGACAGCAGTGCTGGTGGTGGCTGTAGGGCTAGCCAGAGGGTGCCGTACCCCCTGTCGTGTTGGAAAGTGTGTGGGGGGCTGAGATTGGATGCGGATCAGGAGGACCAGGGTGCGCTGGGGCAAGGGATTGGAAGTCTAACCAGTGCCAGCCTGCCCTGTCACCAACCCCAGGCCTGGCCCCGTCCCATGTTGAGGGTCACAGCCACCGATGGAAACTGATGATGTGCTCCCCCCACTACATACCATATTACCTCTGACAGTCAGATGAGACCCCTCGGGGGAGTTGAAAATGTCCCCTGCCTCTATCTCCACATGAGATCTTGGGTTGGTTCTGGTCCTATTTCTCCATCAGTACCAGGGGGATGGACTAGTATCACTCTAGCCTGATATTCAGAGAACTTCCCCCAGGCGAATTGTTTGCTGCTGCTATGCCTGGATTGCAGCCCCCACTTTTCAGGCCTGCCCCCACTTTGCAAGTCATGGGACAGCTCCCTCCCACCCCCCAACTAGCACCTAAACTAAGCTGTGGTTGGACTCAGCATTTACATGATTAAAACAAGGCCTTTAACTCCTTCCCTCTTTAGTCAGCTGTTGCCCTTATCCACTCCCCTGCCCCTCCAAGGTGGAAAAAAACCCTAAACCTGTGGCATCCAGGTGCCTGGTTCCTGGCTGCTCCCGGGCCTCTTCAGTCAGCATTTTGTCCCATCTCCAATGTTAGAGTAGAGGAGACTGAGGCCAAGGAGAGGAAGAGATCTATCTGCACAGGGTAATTCCACGGGTAGCAAGAGCCCCTCTCCTTGGCAAAGAGCAACTCCTTGGTAAGTGGGAGGGGGCTGGTGGCCATGGAGCATCTGGAGAGAGGGGAGAAGCACAGGAGCCTCCTTCCATCTCCTCTCCACCTCTAGCCACGCCCCGTGTCCAGGTTGACATGTGTCTCCCTGAGCCCACTTCACAGCTCCGGGAGGCGGCTGGGCAGGGGTCAGCACGCCGCCTCCACCTGCCAGGGCTGCCCTCGCACAAGGCTGAACACACCTCCAGGCCTCGGGCCTGGCCTGGGAGGCACCTTTTCCTTCAGGGCAGCTCCCAGGCTTCCAGACATGAGCTCATCAGAATTGCTGGTGCCAGGAAGGGAGGGACTGAGGGGAAGCAGGCAGGGCTGCCCAGATAGGGGCACCGGGGCGAGGGCCTGCAGGCTCTGGCCCCCTCTGTAGTGAGGAGGCAGGGGCAAGATAGACCCACTGGGGGTCAACTGGGAGGGGTTGCGGACAGGCCAGTGCCCTGGTCTGCAGTGCTGGGCTAACCTCTGCCGCCTACTCACTTGCTGTGTGACGTTGGGTAAGTCCCTTGCCCTCTATGAACCTCGGTGTCCCTGGCTAGCGATGAGGTGGGGTGGGTGCTTAGGCACTGGGGTTCCAGTAGTGAATAAGACAGACAGGCCCCTGCCTTTGAGGAGCTTGCATTTTAACTGGGGAGATAGGCAAGAAAAAAGGAAGCAAATAAATCATCAGAATAGTTTCAGAGAGGCCAAAGAGCCATGAAAAAAATCAGTCATGCTGTTAGGACGGAGAGCAATTAGAGAGTCTACTCTGGACTGCGGTGGTTAGGAAAGGCCTCTCTCAGGAGGTGGTTTTGGAGCGGAGACCTGAATGTTATTTAAAGGAGCGCTCAAGGCTTCCTGGAGGAGGCGTATCTGGAACTGGGGCCTAGAAGAACGGGAGAGATTTTGTTGGGTGGGGGAGAGGGTGCTCTAAACTAGGGGCCCGGCTGGGCACTGGTCGTAGGTTGCATCCTGTGGGACGTCCAGCTGCAGACCTAGAGGTGCTCCCCCGGAGATCTGGGGAGAGGGGTGGCCGGGCCTGCCTGTGGAGAGGCTCTGCTGAGTTAGGCTGGTGTGTGTGTGAGCTCAGAGTCCTTTGTGCGCTGGCCCTGGACAGTGGGGCTCAATTGCTACCCAGTGTGGCCAGAGGAGGAGTCAACATGGAAACAGCCTCCAGGCCCTGTAATTCCAGAGGCTTACAAATGCCCTCTCTCCAGAGTGAAATCTTTACCAACTGGCTGCTGCCTGAAATTCCACCATCCTTGCTTCAGCTTTTCCACTTGGTGGAAGGGTAGTACAGTCCTGTGAAGACCCTGCCCTACCCTACCCTGCCTGGCCTCCCAGGGCTGCTGAGGGCAGAGCTGAATTCCGTCTACTCCTGACTTTCTGTGGGGAATGCCTCCTTCCTGGCTAACCCATAGATTCTGTGCTTGGACCCCTGGGTCCCCTCCTGGCTAGCTAGCTGGGAGATCCCAAGTATGTTACGTAACCTCTTTGGGCTTTTGTTTCCTCATCTGTAAATTAGAAGCAATAATAAACCCTATCTTGTACTGCTGTTCCAAAAATTAAATGACATGATAAATGCTTAAAAAATGAGCTACTACTTATTATAGTATTATCGTGTTTTGATCTCTGTTAAAATAACAAACGCTTAAGGAGATGGGCTCTCGTTCAGGACTCACTCACGTGTCAGTATAAATTACTTTTGACGTGTGGCCAGGAGCAGGTTTTGCTGGTGGGAGAATGGGCACAAGCACAGTGGGAACGGGCCTGGACCGAGCCTCAGGAGCGGACGCTTCAACCTCCAGTCTTAGCTGACCGGCTGGTGATCTGGGCAAATTGTTTGTGTCCTCTGGGCCTCAGGCTTCAGTTCCGACTACTCTGAAATGGGCTAGTAAGGATCCGAGGGGCTCATGGTCGGTAGACACCAAAAACATGGGGCCCGCAGGAGGGCTGACACCGTGGTGTCAAAGGTCAAGGAAGGAGCGGGCTGGAGGAGCCCCTCAGACAGGAAGGTGCGCTGACCTGAGACACTCGCATCTGTCTGATCCTCCGGGGTAAGATCTCTTGGTAAGATCTCTATAGCGCTCAATAGATAAAAGCCACAATTTTTGAAAAATCGTTGTTTACTGTTACTTGCTATGTGCCATGAGTGTTCCAGGTTCTTTACGTGTCAACAACCCCATGAGGTAAGTACTGTTATTATCATCTGTTCCCATAGATGGGAAACTGAGGCACAGAGAGGTTGGTTAAGGGAGCTCCTAAAGTCGCACAGCTGGTAAGTGGCCAGATTCAAACCCAGGCAGTCTGGTCCCCAAAACTACATGTTTAACTGCTGTACAACACCATCTCTCCCACATTAGTTGGGGTGCCAGAGGCTCAGAGAGGCTAAGCCACTTGTCCAGGAACACACAGTATTTCTCTTTGATCCTCATCATCGCTGTCCCTCAGGTCCTAGAAGGAGAAGTCTCATGGGGTCTATGGTTCAGGGCTCTGAGGTTGTGAGCAGACCTTGAACCAGCTCGGCCGCTTTCCTTCCCCTCCCCCATGCCCTGAGAGTAGGTCAGGGAGGATCAAGTGTGCCCTCTGGGCACCGTGGGCACGGGAGGCTCTGCCAGGGCCTGACGAGTGGGCGTTGGAAGTGCCATGGGGCTTGAGAGGATCCCAAGTGCCTGAGCTGTAATAAACTCCCATGCCGTCTGGCGTGCCCCCATCATTGTACAGTCAGGGGAAACTGAGTCCAGAGACCAGCCCAAGGTCCCACAGGCAGGAGGAAGCTCTTCATCCCTGGGCCTCCTGTTCTGCCTTCGGGGCTGCTTAGTACTTGTGGGCACCAAGGGGATGTGGGACTTTGGGGACCCTCCCCTTAACCCCAAGGTGGCCCTGGCCTCAGCCAGGACACGGGTCCCGATATGGGGCCCTTTGAGAGGGCACACGGAGTTGGGGGATGGGGAGGGTACTGATTAAAAAATAGACTGTCACGCGCACGGAGAGCAAGCCTGCCACGGTACCCAGCCCGAGCCAGTTGGCTCCCTCGTGCCCAGCTGCCAGGCCCCACTCAGGTCTCCTGCTGGGGGCTCCGCCCACCCCACCCTGGCTCTGGGCCTGAGGCTGAAT